ACATTGTTACATCCATCACAGCGAACTTCGTAGGAAAAGCCAAGGAAACCACACTATGTTTCATAGGCTTCGGGATTAGCAGCGACGATTTACATTTCAATATTCGTTTAACTTGCCGATCACTCAGACAAATTTGCAAAATTGAATTATAACTGTCCAAACATTGCCCATCCTTTGCGAATCCATAAACATCTTCGATAACAAGAACTTCATAATTAATTAGATGACTCCTCTGAGCCAAAATAACTCCAAAAATAGAATAAAATATTAAAAAGCTTGAGAGCACAAAATACAAGCCGGCAGCCATTAGCACTGCATTACCCGGTGAGACATCAAATCGAGGCTTATAATAAAATCGTGCAAACGTACTCTCCTGAGACCAATCTTGGCAATCTGCCATCCCTAAAATATCTGTGATTGAAACACCCTGATTTAATGCATCTGTTGTAGCAGCTCCTCGTAATGAGCGCGCAGTAAAAATAGATGTATCTATGCCTGCTAATTGCAACAACGACTTTATCCATCTAGCTAAAGTTGATGAAGATACAGGATTATGAGGAAAAATGTGGGACAAAAACAGTTTGTTATGCTCATCACCAGATCAAAATTCTGTAGTTTTAATTTCATAAAGCTTTAAACATTCCACTGGACATAAATCCTTAGCTTCCTTAAATGCTGCATGAAAATTAGTTTTTGGTGAATCTCCTGGTTTTGAGGTCTTTGACAAACTAGAGAGTGAAAACGATACTCCTTCAGGATGAAAAGTACGCCACCTCAAATCTCGTTTAGCTAGGTCAGACGATCTATCTGGTGCTGTTAGACCCAATAGTGTTACCAATTTGAAAGACAAATGTTTTAGGCTTAAATTTTCATTAGGCCCAAGGGATTTTATGTAGCCCAACAGCTGAGAAACTTTCCATGTGTGTGAGTATTTTGGTTGAGGAGGTCGTAAATTAAATATCCGCCTCAATAGTTGCGAAACTAGTGGATGAGAGCCAACTTTCCAGGAATCAATAAGTGGTAACACTGCAGATAAGGCAGAGCGATAAACATTAATTGATCTATATGCTTTGCCCTCCTTATATTGTCCGGTAAGAAACTCTAGGATAGATTCTATAGATGTTGAAAGTGGATTAATTTTTCGTTGATCACACCAGCTAACCCACTTACTCCAGGCAGAGGCATAGGCACTACTGGTGTTTTGTCTCCAGGCCGCCAACAAAACGTTTCGAGTCTCTTCTGAAACGTTTGCTGTTTCATGGGATTTGCAGCTTCCACCCAGCTAATTGGAGATTGTTTAGGGGGTGCGACTGTTCTCCCTTCATCAGAAGTTGAGGAGACATCGGAAATAGTAGTGGAAGATCCACACACAGTTGAAGTAGCAATGGGTACCAAGGCTGAGTTGGCCATACCGGTGCTACTAGAACTAACTGATCCACTTTCTGGGACCTGACCTGCCGTGCACAACGACCTATCAGGGCAAATGGGGGAAAGGCGTACCCCCGAATTTCGTTCCAATTCACGGAAAATGCATCCACGTAAGTTACCATTGGATCGGGTTTCCAACTGGCAAATTTGGGCAGTTGGTGTGTTAGCCTGGATGCAAAAAGATCTACCTCGAAAGGGCCCCACCTGTTGAGCAGGGCTTGAAAAACTGACAGGTTCAGTTTCCAGTCGCTGGAATCCTGTTTCACTCTCGACTCCTGGTCTGCCCTTACCTTCCAAGTTACTTTAATGTTGGATTTATTAGATTCCAGCTTCTCCTCATAATAAAGACTTTTGGAGGCACGTAATACACAAGTAAGCCTGTTTTTATACTTTTTGTACCTATCCTCATTTAGAGGAGTAGGAATACGTAGAAATTTCGTATACAACTCTTTTTTTTCTTATGGACTTAAAAATACCCCTGGATAGCCAGGGCTTATTTTTAAACTTTGCTGCTTTTAAAATTAATTCTTTTCAGAGGAAAGGCGATATTGTATATATGCATGAAATCAGAATGAAAACTGTCATAAGCATATTTTGGATCATTGTATCCCTCAATATCAGACCATCTGTGATTTCTGAGAAGCTCTTGAAATTTTAATGAGTTAGTCTTACTCCTATCACGGAATGTTACATATGCTGAAGCATCACCATAATTTTCAACTGATTGTTAACTAAAATAGCCGAAAATTGGTAAATGGTCCGAAATATCAGTGAATAATAGACCATTAAATGAATAAGTGTCTAGATTGTTTGTGAAAATGTTATCAATACGAGTAGCAGAATTAGATGTAATGCGAGTAGGCCGTGTTATTACCGGGAAAAACATATTGGAGTAGCTACATAATATCGAGAAATTCACCAGTGTGTTGGTGGCTATGATAATTTAATAAATTCAAATTAAAGTCATCCATTATGTAACACATTTTATTTTCGTTAGAAATAATAGAAATTAGTTTGTCTGTATTGTTAATAAATTCATCAACACTTTCATTAGGAGGTCTACAGGGTGTCCCAAAAAAAACGAAAACTATTGAAATCACCAATAACAATTTAATTGTTAGAATTTGAATGCCTTAGCGCTCTGTTGGTTCCCACGAGTGCATAAATAATTGACACAAGTAAATTTTATGCATAAAGAAACTGTTTAAAGGACATTGGCAATAAAAAATTTTATTGCTTTATCTGAAAGAGCATGAAAAAATGGTTTACTGCTCTATTCTATCTCATCTGGTTCCGAAGTTATACGCAAAAATGTGCAAAATATAAATTGCTGATTCAGCACAACGTGTGACGTCATTGGTTGGGTAAGTATGTTTATTGAATAGTAAACTGAAGCATAGCTCAGTTATT